TAGAATAAACATAACCAAAGTTGTAACATAAACAAACCCTTCAATTTTTTTACCTGATTTCGGGGATTGGAAATCATCATCCTCCTTTGCTGTTAAGGGGAAAAAGAGGGGTTCTCAAATTATTATTGAAATATTTGAAATAAATAGCAAACAAACAAAATACAAAAGCAAAAAAGGAACAAAATACAAAATTTGAGATGAAAGAAAAAAAATCAAAAGCGAAAACCGAACATGCAAAATTTTTTTTACACAAAGGATCATTGATTACCAAGACTTAATCGTGTTTTGGCCATCGTATGAACTCCAACCAACAAACCCTAAACACCAGCCGTTGATTCCGAGCAACAAACAATTTGTAAACTGCAAACAGAACGAAGTCAAATTGGGCAACAACAAATCGAACGAAGGCAAACGGAATAAAGGCAAAATGCTCAGACCTGGTAATTTGTAAACAGCAAACGAAACAAATGCAAATAGTGAACAAAAAATTTGTAAACAGCAAACGAAACAAATGCAAATATTGAACAGCAAATCGAACAAAGACAAAATGCAAACTTCCTGGTAAAACTGCAAACAATCAAACACCCAAAACCTATGGAAGGATTCAAAATTCGTGGTGAGATTTTCGTTTTGAAGCAACAGCGAAGAAATCGATTTCCATATTTTTGCAATTGGAATTTTCGAAACAACAATCCCTGTAAACAGCAAACGAAACAAATGCAAATAGGGAACAACAAATTTGTAAACAACAAACGAAACAAATGCAAAAATTGAACAGCAAATCGAAAACGAAGACAAAATGCAAACGACCTGTTAAAAATGCAAACGACCAAACACCCAAAACCTTTGGAAGGATTCAAAATTCGTGGTGAGATTTTCGATTTGAAGAAACAGGGGACAAATCAAAATGCAAACGACCTGTTAAAACTGCAAACGACCAAACACCCAAAACCTTTGGAAGGATTCAAAATTCGTGGTGAGATTTTCGATTTGAAGAAACAGGGGACAAATCAAATTCCAGATTTTTGCAATTGGAATTTCGAAACAACAAACCCTGTAAAACAGCAAACGAAACAAATGCAAATAGTGAGCAACAAATTTGTAAACAACAAACGAAACAAATGCAAAAATTGAACAGCAAATCGAAAACGAAGACAAAATGCAAACGACCTGGTAAAACTGCAAACGACAAAACACCCAAAACCATTAGAAGGATTCAAACTTCGTGGTGAGATTTTCGATTTGAAGAAACAGTGGAGAAATCGAATTCCAGATTTTGCAATTGGAAATTTCGGATTTGCAGTATAATAGGGAGAGAAATGGGGGATTTGATTTTGAAGATATATTTTACCGTATATTACTAGGGATATTGATAGGGGTACTTTTGACAAATTATAAATACAAAAATTTGCTGGAAATTAGAGTTTATTAGATGGATTTTAACACATATAATCTCTTATAGGAGGACCTATAGCAAATAACCCCAATATTATTTTACTATCAACAAATTTACTTTGTACTTTGTAAGAGTATCTTTCACCGGTTTCACTATTTTTTCACCAAATGCTATTTTTATGGTGAAAAAATAGGTTCATCTCCCATGGCATTTCACTATATATGTCCCAGACTATAAATTCCAAATATTAATTATAGGCCCAATTTTAAGTAATGTTTAACTATATAATTTAAGAATTATATTATAAACTTTGAAAAACTATCTAAACGTGAAATAAATTAACCCACATTAATTTACATATAATAAAATCATATGTCGGCCATGTTTATCCTACATGTGTGCTACTATTCTCCTTCTTAGTTCATTGTGCTTTCATTAATTTATCAGGTTTTGATGTTGACTAAGAAAAATAACATTTGTCGTATTATTAAAATATCTCAAAAACTCAGCAGACGGGATAGATGACGAACTTTTGTAGTCAAAGTTGATGAGAGATTGAAAGTCATAAAAAATACAAGTGTTTCGATATATTCACTACATTCTTCCTCAACGGTCATATTATGCATAATAATGCATTGCAAACATAACGTCATGCAAGTTTTCTTTCTTTCAGAATCGAGCCGCTCAATCGAGCTTGAAGAACGCAAGGTGTCTGTTCCACATCTTTGCAATACGCTATAGAATATTTCTAAATGAGTGCACAAATAGTGTTTGTTAATATTACCGAGAGGTATGGTTTTGGGTGCTACAGGATATTTTAATGAATTGGCTCGCTATGAACTTCAAAATTAATCGTCTAAGATGGAATGGAATATGAACTATAATAAGAGTAGCAATTCTCAATTTATTAAGAAAAGATAGTAAGAAAAGACTCGATGGATTATACATGTTGAGCCAACTGTAAAGAAATTTAAAAACCACATACCTAAGCTATGAAACGCAAGAGATGAAGACAAAATTGATTCAACCTTTAAACACCCTTGAACCACTAACAACCCTTCCAATTTCTTATGTGGACACTTCTTCTTGGATTCAAATTAATGAGAGTAAGTGCCAAACAAAAGCTTACATTAATAGAAAATTTTCAAAAACATAAATTCTGAAAATTGTAGTGAGATTCTATTGGGAATTTTTGTTTTGTATGTATATGAATATATAAAAATTCATGTTTGTCATTAATTTATATTCATCGAATTACTTAGTTGCCTTTGAAATTCTATTTCCAAATACTCCTATCTATTCATGTTTTTATAATAAAAAAATAATATATATATATATATATATATATGAGATTATTTTGTAGACCCCCTCATTTCCAAATTATATAGAACTAACTATCAAGTGGATTACACTCTAGGGGAAAACCCCCTCATTTTGAAAATATTTTGATATACCCCCTGCGCCACCATGAAGTCCCTATAATACCCTTTTAATATCAGTTTTAAACCCTAGCCACTCACATTTCCGTCTCTCTCTTCTTCTCCCAGATTCAAAATCCCGCCTCCACAAACCTCCCACCGACGAAATTGCTTCCCGGAGTCATAACTCTCTCTCCGGTGGTCGGAATTCAATGGTTTAACTACCGTTGGATTCCTCTCGTAGAGTTCTTTCATTTGGTGGTGATTTTATTCAGTTCGGAGCGCAGATCTGTTTCTGCAATGTTTTGTCATTCGACGACGGTGGTCTTGCCGGAGGTGTATTTTGTGTTCCACCAGTCGGAATTTGACGGGCTACCCACCGTTGGATTCCTCTCGTCGAGATCTATATTTTGATGGTAATTTCGTTGTTTTTATATTTTCAGATTTATTTCTAAAAATTTTTGCATTTGTGGGCGCGCAGAACTGTGGGTGGTTATTAGCGGCGCCTAGGGTTTTGGTAGGAGGCGAGGGGGGTGAGGAGTCACTGTCAGTTTCAAATATGTAGCATTTCCCAGCAATAACCTCTCTTCTCTATCTCTCGATCTCTTAGTGTTTGGTGATTTTTGATTATTTTGATGTTTCTTCAAATTTTGTTGATTTGCACTAAAGTAATTTTTTTTTTTGTTTTGATTTTGCAATTGCAGCTTAATGAAAGCCATTGATCCTCTCCTTGAAGGTGTCAAAAATTTGGTTGAAGTTACGTGTGAAGCAGTGTTCAACAAACTGTATACATTACTATACACTACTGTTAGAATCTAATTGGATTATAATAAACAAGGGATGAGTAAAAACTTGTGCAACAAGTCCTTATGTACCGTGAAACACAAAAGGGAAGTCTCCTTGTTTACTCTAATTCTTTAATTTGTCATTAATTGTTTATTTTATATAGGAAACTATCTTATTAATTAAAAATATTTATTCTTAACTTAGTGACTTGTGTAGAAGCCTTGTGAAAGAAGAATTCATTCTTTCCATATATTTCACACATACGTGTGAGAATCAAGAGAATGGATGATTTTTTTTTATGTTTTCTTATTATTTGTCATTAAGTGGTATTTTATATTTTATGGGAATTAAGTATTCATTAGTAGTGGGCTAATATTTCTTTCATATTAAAACTCTTCTGTGTACGCAAAACTTAAACCTAATGGGCTTATTATTTCTTGTACAGGAAGATTCAATCACGTATAAAAGGGAAGACATCACAACGTGATTGTGTGTGTCTTTTTGGAGAGAAACAGATCTCTCTTTTCTTTGTTGTTGTTGCGTGCTTTTCGTTGGAGAGAAAAATCATATTTTTCTTCTCTTTTTATTGTTGCGTCTGGAACGTCCTTGATCGAGAGAAAATATACAGAGAAAATATTCTTGGCTCTCGTTTTTATTGTTCCATCGTGATACGTGATTTTCATAGAAAATATACCGGCTTCAAGGCTTTGTGGTGAAGACACCAAGATTCAAGGAGTATCACAAGTTTGCTTCTTCTATACAAAAAGAAGATCGGTTCTTCGGGAGAGGGGCTTAAACAGATTTCGGGAGGAGATCAATCCGCCGACTGAGGGATTCAGCGTTGAAGGGAGTTCAACCGCGGAGCAAGGGACGTGCTTCAAATTGAAGATTTATAATTCAGCGTAGTATACAAGAACGGCGTCAATAAAGAGGGAGTCTTTGTATTTTGATTAAGTCCTAATATTGTATTTGTAAAACTAAAAATTAGTAAACTTCATTTGCAGGTCCCCGTGGATGTAGGGTACAATTGTATCCGAACCACATTAAATTTTTGTCTCGTTTGTTTTTGTTTTTACAAACTAATTCACGAACTGTTGCAACACTTCACGCAACAGTAACGAAAAACTGAATCTGACACAAATAATTTATATCTGCACGAAATAAATTCTAACAATTGGCATAAGAGCCTGTCACTAGATACACTTAGTGAGATTTTGGGATTTAATTCATTTTTTTTTTTTTGTGTAGATATGAATAATCATCGTGAAGGCGCATTCCTACCACCTCTCTTGGGTGAATTAAACTACTCTGATTGGAAAATAAGGATGAAGATGTTCATCAAATCTATTGATGAATGGGCCTGGCGCGCGATTCTAATTGGTTGGACACCTCCTACCTCAATGAATGAGTCACACGAGATCATTCAAACGCCAAAAGAGAAGTGGAGTGATGAAGAAGTACGAATAGCAGATTATAATTCCAAGGCAACCAATGCTATCTTGAGTTGTATCGATGAAGACCAATTCAAATTGATATCAATGTGCAAATCATCAAAGGAGGCATGGGATGTTCTACAAGAGGCCTACGAAGGAACTACTCAGATAAGCGAGTGCAAAAAGACTGTCGCTGAAACGGTTGCAACAGTTGGACAGACTGTTCAGACAGAACTTAGGTATGATAAATTGCATTCAATACCTGCTAAAAGATTAACTCCGTTAAATATTGCAGGTGATGATGGGGATTCAGAAAACAACAGTGATGATGACGTGTCAACCTTGGAAGAATTAAAAGAGTGCTATGAAAGGATGTACAAAAAATTTCTTCAGGTATGCGAGTCTAATAAATTCTTAGAAAAAGAGAAGCTTGTCCTAATTGAGGAAAATAAAGTGTTGAAGGTAAGAATTATATTTCTACTCTTGAACAAAATGTTATTTCTTCTAGTAGAGAAACAGATAGCTTGAAGGCTAAATTTGCTCATACCCAAGATGCTATTTCTAAGTTTAATACTGGTAGGGTAACTTTGAATGAAATTTTGAACAAAAATCAGCCGAAATGCGGTCGTATGGGTATAGGGGGTAATCAGCTATCTAATGATGCATTGAAACAGAAAGAAGATCCAAAAAGAAAAAACAATTTTGTTAAACAATCCTTTGTTTCACCAACTGTTGCGACAGTTGCATCAACACAGTCATCTCAAAGAAAATGTTTTGTCCCTACCTGTCGTCATTTTTGTCATGTTCCTGGTCATATACGACCTAGGTGTTTTAAGTACTTGAAAATGGTTAAAAGAATAATGGCCTGCTCACCACTTTCCGCTAAAATTGATCACACTTTTGTGTCGTCTCAAAAACCCAAGATAAAGGTTGATTTAGTGAATAAAACTCAACAAAAAATCTGGGTAAAGAAGTCTGATCTTAATTGTTTATCTGCCATTACTTTTTTAAAATCATGTGATGGTAGTACTAACTGTTCCAACAGTTATGGTGACAAAGCTAGGTTGGGGAATAAAAAACTTGGTTATCTGAATTGTGATAATTTGTGTGCGAAAAATAAGTTTATGAATCCAATTCACCATTCGAGAACTAAGCTTACTGATATTTGTCATTGTTTCATAAGGAGCTTGGTCGAAAAGGGGGTTGTCTCAATTGATTATGTTGCAACGAAGAATGAATTAACTGATGCTTTTGCAAAAACCCTTGATGCACAGAGATTTGATTCCTTGCGAAAATCGCTGGGAATTTATGTTGTTTAATCTGATGCAGTTGCATGAACAGTTGCAACAGTCTGTGTGTCCAGACTTGCAACTTTTAGTGGTAGGACACTTCATATGTTTTTGCATCTCATATAGGACCTGCATTAAGCATACTGCATATGATTGAGACAAATGTGAATTTGATACTTCGTGTTCTTCTAAACTTTGTGGGGGTAGAACTTCACCAATTCCCAAAATGATTACTTAAAAGGCTCCAACTTATTTATTTCTCTGAATAGTCTTGTCATGGTTGGATGTTTTTATAGAAAAAAACTGCCTCTTTTAATAAGTGAAAGCTACTCTTGAACTACTGTTACTAATATATATATCTACAACCATTTGGTCAGTGAATAGTTCGAAGCCTTTTTGAGTCGAGTCAGTAAATCATGTGGCCGAAAGCTCGCTGCACGGCTCAATGAGAAAGCCAGGGGACTACACATTGCACTGCCAATATAAATTATACATATGGTCAGTGAATAGTTCGAAGCCTAGTTGAGTCGAGCCAGTAAACCACTTGACCAAACACTCACTACAAGGCTCAATTAGAAAGCCCAGGGGACTACACATTGCACGACCACCATAATATCGTTCCTTTTAATTGCTCTATTTTTCATGGGAAAAAACTACCATTAGACGTGTGTGTACGCTACCTAATAAAAGCATCTTTGTGTTTGATTTGGGATTATTAAGTTTATTGGTTGCATTGGCAGTCGGATTTTTGGGGATTGCGCTTATTGTGAATGTGAAGATAAATTCCATATGTTTTGTTTGTCCATGCAGTATCCTATTCACATATGTCTCTTCACTCATGTTTATTTCTCATGTTTACTTCTTGTCTTGCATTAGGCATTATTTAAAAGAGAGAGAGAGAGAGAGAGAGAGAGAGAGAGAGAGAGAGAGAGAGAGAGAGAGAGAGAGAGAGAGAGAGACGGGATTTTTGTTTATGTGCCGGTTAAATTTGATTTTTGTTGCAACCGGATCTATTGGGCCTACTATTCACATTTCCACGTTTCGTATGAAGTTTGGCAAAGTCTGTAGTCTTTGTTATTTAATGCTGGATTTGATATCACTATCCTTTTGATTTTCGCATTGCAATTATCGTGTGGTTGTGAGTTTGTGAGTTTATGATCTTGTGTGCCCGTCATGTATGGTGATTCTTCTTACTTACTTTCAAAATTCTCTCTACGTTTGATCTTTTTGTTAAGTGTTTGAACAGCTTGCTCGAATCATCAAGATCATTAGTCCATGTTGAGTTATCTATGCATGGTGATTGCCCATAAAGGGGGAGAAAAGAACAGTAACGATGGCATGAACACTGGGAGAGTTCGGACAACTGTTGCGACAGTGCATCAGACAGTTGCTGGAACAGTGCAGGAATGCATGGGGAGTTCAGACAGCTGTTGAGACAATGCATCATACAGTTGTTGGAATAGTGCAGAAATACAGGACAAATAAGGATGAATTCATTGTAAAGGGAAGTTGATTCTGCTACTGCATATTTTCTGTTGTTCTTTGCTTAATTGAACAACTGTATACTATTTGCTGAACTGTTTGATAAACTGTTGCAACATTTTATATTTGCAGATGTTATTTTGAATTTGCTGACCCTTGTTCATGCATATATCATATATTTAGGGGGAGTAAATGTTCTGACCAATCAATGCCAAAGGGGGAGAGTGTTAGAATCTCGGTGGGATTCAAAGTCCACAACACCAAGTGGAATTCTATGGAGATGTGCATTAATATGAGGAACATATTTTCCTTAGTTATCTCATTAGATAATTTGAGAAGAAATAAATTATCTCTCCATATTAATCACTTGAACGTGACTATCCAAAATAGAAGGAATTTCATCTTTTTATTATTGTGGTAATTGTCATTAATTGGTTTCCTTGTTTGATTTCTCCAGAGCTTCACAAGAATATAAAAGGAGGAGCTAATGCCGACGTTATTTGCTGAGTCTCTTATCACGTGGATAATTTACCACGTCGTCATCCACCGCCTTCCAAGTCTATCAAGCCGAGTAAACAAAGGGAAAGATTGAAATAATTTACAAGAGGAATTGCCAAATGATCATCTACAGGGGGAGAAACACATGCATGGGAAGCTGACTCCGTTGTAAACTACCTGCCGAAGCCACTACTGTTGGAACAGTTGCCGAAACTGTGGCACTTGCTATTGCAGCAGTTCATGCCACTCTTGTTGCTGAAAGAGATTATGATGATGAGCTGTTCTTTTGATGTTGAGGATGATCTTTAGTTTTATTGTTTCCTTATATCCTCTATTGTTTTATTTTCAAGAATTTTATTCAGGGGGAGAAAATGATTAGAATCAATCAATGACAAAGGGGGAGATTGTTAGAATCTAATTGGATTATAATAAACAAGGGATGAGTAAAGACTTGTGCAACAAGTCCTTATGTACCGTGAAACACAAAAGGGAAGTCTCCTTGTTTACTCTAATTCTTTAATTTGTCATTAATTGTTTCTTTTATATACGAAACTATCTTATTAATTAAAAATATTTATTCTTAACTTAGTGACTTGTGTAGAAGCCTTGTGAAAGAAGAATTCCTTCTTTCCATATATTTTCACACATACGTGTGAGAATCAAGAGAATGGATGATTCTTTTTTATGTTTTCTTATTATTTGTCATTAAGTGGTATTTTATATTTCATGGAATTTAAGTATTCATTAGTAGTGGGCTAATATTTCTTTCATATTAAAGCTCTTCTGTGTACGCAAAACTTAAACCTAATGGGCTTCTTATTTCTTGTACGGGAAGATTCAATCACGTATAAAAGGGAAGACATCACAACGTGATTGTGTGCGTCTTTTTGGAGAGAAACAGATCTCTCTTTTCTTTGTTGCTGTTGCGTGCTTTCGTTGGAGAGAAAAATCATATTTTTCTTCTCTTTTTAGTGCTGCGCCTGGAACGTCCTTGATTGATAGAAAATATACAGAGAAAATATTCTTGGCTCTCGTTTTTATTGTTCCATCGTGATACGTGATTTTCATAGAAAATATACCGGCTTCAAGGCTTTGTGGTGAAGACACCAAGATTCAAGGAGTATCATAAGTTTGCTTCTTCTATACAAAAAGAAGATCGGTTCTTCGGGAGAGGGGTTTAAACAGATCTCGGGAGGAGATCGATCCGTCGACTGAGGGATTCAGCGTTGAAGGGAGAGTTCAACCGTGCGGAGCAAGGGACGTACTGCAGATTGAAGATTTATAATTCAGCGTAGTATACAAGAACGACGTCAACAAAGAGGGAGTCTTTGTATTTTGATTAAGTCCTAGTATTGTATTCGTAAAACTAAAAATTAGTAAATTTCATTTGCAGGTCCCCGTGGATGTAGGGTACAATTGTATCCGAACCACATTAAATTTCTGTCTCGTTTGTTTCTGTTTTTACAAACTGTTTCACGAACTGTTGCAACACTTCACGCAACAGTAACGAAAAACTGAATCTGACACAAATAATTTATATCTGCACGAAATAAATTCTAACAACTACTATACATTACTATACATATAGTAACATGTAGTTACATATGCATATATTTGTGTATTTTCGATTTGTATTTTATTGGTTCTGAGGTGATTTATAATAAAAATATTGAAATTTGTAAATTTTTGTTGGGGTTTATGAATTTCTTTTGTATAAGCCAGTATTCGTATGTGTATACGATTGATCGACTAAAAATATGGGAAAAAAACGAACATAACTCCGAATTACTATAGGTACTATAGTTACATGTAGTTATTTTCAGTACAGTAAACATATTGTTTTGAAAATTAACAAAAATTAAAAATTAAAAAAAAAATAATTGAAAAAAAAATAAAAACATAATATATATATATATATATATATATATTTATATAAATTAAACAAACAGGTAGGGATGTCCATGGGGCGGGTTGCATTCCCCGCACCCGCCTCACCCCTCAACGGGAATAAATTTTCTCAACCCGTACCCGCCCCATAGAAAACCCGCGGCAACTCGCCCCGCCAAAAAACCCGTAAACGAAGAAAAAAGTAAAAAAAAATTAATTAAATGAGAATTGAATCGC